TACTGGATTTCTTTTTTGTATTTCGCAGATATTATTCCTAATTTAAAAAAAAATCAGGTTTCCATTCTATTTTAACCCGTTATTGCCTCCATTCAATTTTTGATCCTATTCCAAAAAAAAATTTAGCCTCCTCACAGGTCCACCATAAATGGTAATATGTTCCATGTATTGATTCACATTTCCAACATTTTGGGGAGGAAAGTTTCTGTTTTTAAGTGAGACATCTGTTAAGGAAATTCTGCAGAAAGAATTCAGGAAGTAAGTCGGGGATAGATTTAACTAGCAGCAGGGTGCCCCCTAGTGGCTCAAAAGAAACAAGACTTGCTTCTCCTTCAACCCTATACAGGGAGTCGACTTAAAAATGGTTCACTTAGTGACCAAAGTTACAACGGCACTGAAAAAAAGCTACTTAGGGCCATTTCTCAGACTTACGACCGTTGGGGCATCCCCATGGCCACGTGATTTACATTTGGAGGCTTGGCAACCGACTCACATGTATGACGGCTGCAGTGCTCCCTGGGGCTTGTGTGATCCCCTTCTGTGTCCTTTTGACAAGCCAGGTCCCATGGGGGAGACAGGTTCACTTAACAACCATGTGACTAATTTAACAACGGCAGTGATTCATTCACTTACCGAATGGCCCCGGGACAATTGCAATGGTCATAAATACGAATCGATTGCCGAGCATCCAAATTTGGATCGCCTGACCACGAGGATGCTGCCACGGTCGTAAGTGTGGAAAACGGTCCTAAGTTCACTTTTTTCCAGTGCCGTTGTAACTTTGAAGGATCACGAAAGGAATCCTTGTAAGGTCGAGGGCTAATTGTATATAGACAACTCTCCACAAGAGAGGGATGCACATCGCTTTAGCTCACCACAGAGGCAAGGAATAGAATAGTATAGAATAGAATAAAGAACGGTATAGAATAGAAAAGACAATAGAGTAGAATAGAATATAGAAAATTAATAGAATAGAATAGAAAGGAGAATAGAATAGAATAGAATAATATAAGGAATAGACTAGAATAAGGAGTAGACTAGAATAAGGAATAGAATAGAATGGAACAAGGAGTAGAATAGAATAGAATAAGGAATAGAATAGAATAAGGAGTAGAATAGAATGGAAAGAGTAGAATAGAATGGAATGAGTAGAATAGAATAGAGTAAGGAATAGAATAGAATGGAATAAGGAGTAGAGAATAGAATAAGGAATAGAATAGGGAATAGAATAGAATGGAATAAGGAATAGAATAGAATAAAGAACTATATAGACTAGAAAAGAGAATAGAGTAGAATAGAATATAGAAAATTAATAGAATAGAATAGAAAAGAGAATAAAATAGAATATAATAGTATAAAGATTAGAATAGAATAGAATAGAATAAGGAATAGAATAGAATGGAATAAGTAGAATAGAATAGAATAGAATAAAGAACAGTATAGAATAGAAAATAGAATAGAGTAGAATAGAATATAGAAAATTAATAGAATAGAATAGAATAGAATAGAATAGAGAATAAAATAGAATATAATAGTATAAAGATTAGAATAGAATAGAATAGAATAAGGAATAGAATAGAATGGAATAAGTAGAATAGAATAGAATAGAATAAAGAACAGTATAGAATAGAAAATAGAATAGAGTAGAATAGAATATAGAAAATTAATAGAATAGAATAGAATAGAATAGAATAGAGAATAAAATAGAATATAATAGTATAAGGAATAGAATAGAATAAGGAATAGAATATAATGGAATAAGTAGAATAGAATAGAATAAAGAACAGTATAGAATAGAAAAGAGAATAGAGTAGAATAGAATATAGAAAATTAATAGAATAGAATAGAATAGAATAGAATAGAATATGGAATAGAATAGAATGGAATAAGAAGAAAAATAAGAGTATAGTATAGTATAGTATAGTATAGTATAGTATAGTATAGTATAGTATAGTATAGT